TGACCCAGGAAAGCTTATGCTCCCAGTACTTCTGTTAGTCTCAAAGGTGCCACAGGACCCTCTGTTGCTTTATGCTGATGGTAGAATCCCTCCTCTCAGCCTAAGTAACGTCTTCACTGGAGCATTACGGCAGTGCAGCTGCAGCGTTTTAAGTGTAGACCTGCCCTCAGTGATTCACCTTAATCACCCCCCACTGTTTGTAGTTCCTGTAGGGGCTGTAACCCACCCCCACAGAGTACAGCACAATCAATCATAGACTTAACACAAAATGGTCCTCAAAGATATTGCAGACGACCTATTTCCGTTCTCTTGTTGCCTCACTTCTCTGGGCAGAGTTCCTCTGGGCAGCATCTGCTGAGATCTTGGACTCCTTCGTGGAGTGCTGGCCGCTGTCTAGGGTTGCCAGGGAGTTCTGCTTCCCAGTCCCCACTGCCATGGGCGGTGGGTGAAACTTCCCCTGGAGGAGGCTAGCTCCTTGCTCCGCCTCTTCCACCCATGGCCCCACTTCTTCCGCCCAGGACCACGCCCACACTCCACCCCAGCTCCGCCCCACCACCTCCCCCTTCCTGCTCACCCCCCACACACACACCTCTCACCATATTCCTCCTCCATGAGGCCCCCACCACCAGCCGGTCCCTGCGTCCCTCCTCTCATCCACACACCCCCTTCCCCCGAGGCCCCTGCTGCTCGCACTCTCCACACCCCTCCTCTCCTCCCCCCGCGAGGACCCCCCAACCCTCACCGTATCCCTCCTTGCTTCCACCCCTCTCCCCTGCAAGGCCCCCTCGCCCAGCACTTGCTGTAGAGCAGAGGCAGGCCCACCACAGCCCAGGCGTCCGGCGGTGGGGCAGCGGCGGCCTGGCCTATTATACCCGCTGTCTTAGGGTTACCATATTTTGTGCCTCCAAATGGAGGACACTCCACGGGGCCCCGGCCCCGCCCTGCCCCCAGCCCAGCCCAGCCCCGCCCCCGCCCCAACTCCGCCCCCTCCCCAAAGTCTCCGCCCCCTCCCCTGCTTCCCGCGAACATTTAATTCGCGGGAAGCCTGAAGCAGGTAAGGGGGAGTGTGGGGGGAGGAGGCGAGGCCCAGGCTGGCCCCCCGGCGGCTCCAGCCTGGGTCG